AATGTAGTCTGTTTATGCTATTGTAAATGAAATTAGTTTAATTTTTGGACTGTTTGTTGGAAATCTGTAGATACACGACTGTTTTATGTGTATTGATCTTGTACCCCAAAACTTTGCTGAATTCATTTATTTTTTATTGATTCCTTACAATTTCTATGTAGAGGGTTATGCCATCTGTGAATATAGTCTGATTTCTTCTCTTATAACCTAGACACCTTTTATTCCTTTTTTAAATGATTTCATTTATCTATTTTTAGCTGTGCTGGGTCTTCGTTGCTACACGAGCTTTTCTGTCGTTGTGGTTAGTGGGGGCTGCTCTCTGGTTGTGTTGTGCAGGTTCTCATTGTAGCGGCTTCTCTTGTAGTACATCATGGGCTCTGGGCTGCTCAGGCTTCAGTAGTTGCAGCTCTCAGACTCCAGAACAGAGTTGTGTCACACAGGCCTCGTTGCTCTGCAGCATGTGGGATCTTCCCTGATCAGGGATAAAACCTGTGTCTCCTTCACTGGCAGGCAGATTCTTTACCACTGCCTTCTAAATGAAGACCCTGCCTTCTATTTCGTTTTCCTGCCTACATGCCCTGTCTAGAACCTCTAAGAGGGTATTGAATAGAAGTGGCAAGAGTAGATGCCCTTGTCTTGTTCTTGATCTCAGGGGGACAACATATGTTTTAAAATTCTTTCTAAGCCTGTCTCCAACTCTGTGCTCACAAGGTTTTTACTTTTATCTAATCCTAAATGGTTTTAGAATCATATGGCTTTTTAAAAAATCATATCCTGAATAATATCTGTAAGGTACCCTAAAACACCTCACTTTGGAATTTTATAGCTGTTGTACATGGCCACCTATAGCTAGTCTTCAGTGTAACATTGTTATACACACTCTTAGAGAATTAGTCTGGAGAAGGCAATGGCACCCCACTCCAATACTCTTGCCTGGAAAATCCCATGGATGGAGGAGCCTGGTGGGCTGCAGTCCATGAGGTCACTAAGAGTCAGACACGACTGAGCGACTTCACTTTCGCTTTTCACTTTCATGCGCTGGAGAAGAAAATGGCAACCCACTCCAGTGTTCTTGCCTGGAGAATCCCAGGGATGGGGGAGCCTGGTGGGCTGCCGTCTATGGGGTCGCACAGGATCAGACACAACTGAAGTGACTTAGCAGTAGCAGAGAATTAGTCACCATACATTTGGCCAAATATAGGCCATCCCAGAAAAGAGGAGACAACAGAAACCTTTATTTCTTCCAGTGGACCATGTGCACTTAAAGCAGTGACATTTTGGTGAGGGATACCAACTTTTTTCTCAGTCATAGGTGAAATACCTATGTTACATAGCATTTTCCCTGCTGTGGAAAATAATGCATCAAGATTGCCTACCTTAAAGAAGTGTTTATATTCAGCTAACATGTAGAAACACATGTGGGGTACTTGTTGATAGTTATTAGGCAGTGTAACTGTTTCTACTGGGAAACCCAGAAGATGTCTCTTGTATGAATGGCTGTGTTTCAAGTGTGCCTTCCTCATTGTTGCCCAGATAGGCTCCCTGATTGAAACCCAGAGTAAGCACCTTGGCCACTTTCCTTTTTTGGGTTTTGGAGAACATTACAGCAGACGAATTAATCTGGACGCCTGCTAGCCAGATGAAGCTGGGTTTGCGTCCAGTTTTCCAGATAGCACTGTTACAGTTGCCACAGGTTTTGTTAGCTTGCTCTTTGAAAGAACTGGGATGCTTCTGAGTGGGACCCGTGTGTGTGGTTGGTGGAGTGTCACAAGAAGTTTCACTGTCATTTTCTTTGTAATAATATTAGTTACAGAGAATGGGAATTTGGTCAAATACAAAAAGTGTACCTTTGTGAATGCTGTGGATAAAATGTGTTCTTATTAGAGAGAGAAGCAATATCACACTACCTGCATCCCAGACCCCAAGAGTATGCAGTGTTTTTGTTTTCAGGTTACAGCATAGGTCTAGAGCAGATGGTGGGTGACTTCATACCACATGCCTGGACCTAGCATGATATTGACACAGAAACTTGTGAGAGTAGGGACAAGGAAGGAGGACAAAATGGCACCATTTTTAAGTCAAGAGGAGAGAGTGTAACAAATACCTGGGATAACCTGTAATTCGGACAAAGGAAACAACTTGAAAAAATATACAAAGCTGGACTATTCCTTCGAACTGTTATATAAAACTTTCTTATATCCACTGGATATCAGGACTTAGCAGTGACATTGTGTGAGCTTTTTGCTTTCTCTACACAACTTCGTGTAAAACAGAGTGTTTAGAGAGCCTGAGGCTGAACTCCTTATTGTAGGGGAGAGGGACCAGCACCTGAGTTGGGATTGAGGGTCACCGACTTCCAGTCACCAACCCAAGGAAGAAGATGATGTGGAGATTCCAAGGAGGCCAGTCCCCACCCCCACCTCCTGCCACCATGCCCACCCTGTGGCCATCTCTTTTGTCCATGTATTGTTGATAACACATCTGAAGTTTAAATTCAGATTTATTTGTCTTCTACTCTGCATTAAATGCTTTATGAAAGATAGTGAAATAAACCAAAAACAAGCACAAGAAGATAAGATTTTATTCTAAGACTTTGTGAAAGAGTTTTTCCACAATTTGCAGCTCTCACTCCTCCATGTCCTAGATGTATGGGCTACTGGAAAATTGAAGACAATTTCTGTGCTTAAGGACAGCCTTAAAGTAAGGGACAAAACTATTAGGCTGGCCAAAAAGTTTGTCCAGAGTTAAGTAAAAATAAAAGACACATTTTTTTTTATGTTCACCGAGAACTTTATTGAATAACATATTGAATGAACAAACTTTTTTGCCAGCCCAATATAAGTCAGGCCCAGGGAGAAATCACTTGTTTTCAGAAGCAACTAAAAGTGACAGATTAGAAAGAAACAAAAGGGCCTCGAGAAGGAAAAGAGGTGAATAAAGGCAGACATGGCTGGCTCATAAATAAACAAGAAACTCTGTGCCCTGATGGCAAACTTCTTACCCATCACCGATGAGAGCCTGGAGTTGACTGTGTGATAGCTATGGAATGGAGCAGACCTAGTCTCTCAATATCTTAATATCAGATGAGATAAGGAAGAGAGTCCATGGGTCTAAGTGATTCTGCTCTGTAAAACAAAGGGAGTTAAAGAAAAATTGGACCAAAATAGGATCCTTTTTTCCCCATCATTTCTTTCCTAATTTATGTCTCATACCACCCCAAAGCCATTTCACTGTTGACTCATTCAGGGATTCAACAAGTATCTTATATATACACACACACGCACAAGTTTATTAGCACTTACTGTGTACAAGATGCTAATATCTTCTGTGTTAAAGATATTACAAAATAGTGTATGTCATGGTTCCTAAACCTTAGAAATGTACAGTCATACTAGGTAGAGGGAACTGTCATAAATGAAGCAGTTGTGGAATAATGTGTCACACCGGCATTACTCTGTGGGAGGTGATCGCCTTGCCTGGCTACCTGCAGTGTGTCTCACTACGTTTTGGTCCTCTTGTCTGACAAGAGCACTTTAGACCTTTCTCTTACCCCTTCCAAACAGAGGGCAACATAAAATAAAACCACTTCGTGGGCCTCTCCAGCTCCCTCCTGCCTCCAACATTTTCTTATTTTATACCATATTTCTAGAACGTTCTCGCCATCCACCTTCTTTATCAATTAACTATTGTTCTTCAAATCCTAGCAAAAAATTGAAACTTTGTTATGGAAGCCCTTCCTCATCTTCAGACTCATGCATATGCCCTTATCATTCACTCTCATAGCCTGGTGTACCTCTCATGATTTCATTCCACAGCCATTACACATTCATTTGTGTGGTATTTTGATTCAGAGTCATCCACCCTCCAGAGATGTTGAGGCTATATCTGGTTTTGGTCTCTGCCATTGCCCCATGTTATGTGTTGATGAATATTTATTTAGTGTTCATGTTGCCCACATGAGGGATTAATGAAAGAGGTATACCATACACACTCTCCAGATATTTGGGATGGAGTCAAGCCAGCACAGGGATTGAACTCATTTTTGGAAGACATGTTAACAGGTGAATATTAACTGAGGCCCTCTGAAGGCAGGTAGAAGCCCATCAGAGGAACCAAGCAAGGACATCAGAGACAGGAGTGGTGGCATGAACAGGTGTTTGAAGGAATAGGGGAGAAACTGGACAATGTTTGTTCACCAAGATTCAAGGGATCTGCATGGTGCTGCAAGCCAGATGTGAGGCAGAGGTCACGATGGCCAGAAAGAAGGAAAGAGCTGACCCTGGAGAGCACCCCAGCCCTGCAGTATTAAGAGGGGTTTCTGATTCCAAAGCTAGTCTCCACAGAAAGCAAGTTGTCTGAAATAGTTGAAGTTTACTACCCCACCCCATTCATTGCAAGTATGTTTCTTACTCTTGTTAAAATGGATTCAGTCATTTTTTAAAAACTTTTTATTTTGTATTGGACTATACCTGATTAACAATGTTATGATATTTACAGGTGCACAGCAAAGTGACAGCCGTGTGTGTGTGTGTGTGTGTGAGAGAGAGAGAGAGAAAGAGTGTGTGAATGCATGCTCAGTCAAGTCTGATTCTTTGCGGCCCAATGGCCTGTAGCTCAGCAGGCTCCTCTGTCCATGGGATTTTCCAGGCAAGAATACTGGAGTGGCTTCCACTTCCTACTCCAGGGGATCTTCTTGACCCTGGGATCGAACCTGCATCTCTTGCATCTCCTGCATTGGTAGGCAGATTCTTTACCACTGCGCCACCTGGGAATATCCTAAAATGGAGTCAGTCTTTATTGTCCATTCTGCTTTGACATTTTTCACCTGGGCATCCTATCCAAGCCAAGTCCCCAGGATGGCCCTGTATCCCTCCTTACTTAATTCCCTGCTCTGTCTTCCTGGTCCAGGACTTTGGATTTATACACTGTGGCTTCCATTGTTTGGGGCTTTCTTTTGATAGTAGTGCTCAGGATTCATCTTCTGGATGTTTGGATACAAGTCCTATTGTGACTGTCAGTCTTCACGCCCCGTGGTTCTGGCGTCCTCTTTTGCTTTGGTGAGAAGTTGTCCTCTAGCCTCTCTATCTTGTATCTGGATAACCAAAGAAAGATTGTTTCTCTATTTACAACACTCTCACAGCAAATGTGGGTCTTCCACACCAAGCAGTTCTCCAGTTCTCTGTGGACACCAAGATCCTACCTAACTCAATTTTGAGAACAGCTACTCAGACACCAATCAAAACAGTGGGTGCCCAAGGTACCCAGACTTCTGTTTGATTTATTTTCAGAACTCAGGGTCCCCATGGTCCCTCTTCAAATTTGATAATTTGCTAGAATGACTCACAGAACTCAGGAAAATTGTTTACCTACTGTTAATGGTTTATATACTAAAGGATGCATCTGAGGAACAGTCAAACAGAAAAGATGCCTAGGGCAAGCTATGTGGGAAGGGATGCAGGGCTTGCATGCCCTCTCTGGATGCACCATTCCCAGAACCTCTGTGTGTTTACCATTCCAGAAATCCTCAGAACCCCACTGTTAGGATTTTTATGGAGATTTTATTGTGTAGGCATAATTGGTTAATTCACTGGCCATTGATGAATAACTAAATCTCAAGCCCTTCTCCCCTCCCCAGATGTGGGATGGCACAGCTGAAAGTTCCAACCTTCTAATCAAGTCTTGGTCTTTTTGGCAACCAACCCCCATCCTGAAGCTATCTAGAGCCCCCAGGCCCAGTCATCTCATTAGTATACCATAAAGACACCTTGGTCACTCCAGAGATACCGAGGGTCTTAGAAGCTCTTCTGTCTGGAACCAAGGACTAAGACCAAATATTATAATAAAAGATTCTTCTCTCTTTCCTATCACTCAAGAAATTAACAAGGATTTTAGGAGCTCTGTGCCATTATAAGAAATATGTATTTCATCTCTACCAAATATGTTGCAATAACAGTGAAAAGAGTGGAGAACACATAGAAATTCAGATACACCTATGCTCTCGGGAGCTTAGAGTTAAATAACCAACCTTCCCCTCACCATCCCTTGTAAAATCTCCAGGCAAAATTTTCAGTATGACATAGATGAGGTCTCAGAGAAGATACTGGAAGTAAAGTCAATTCAAGTTGAAAGGCTAATTAGTCAAGCAGGTATGAAAGGGGAATGTCCATGAGGGCAAACAGTGAACAACTAAGCGCTGGCATCCGAGGCGTCACTCAGTTCGCTCAGAAGTGTGTGCATGTCTGCATTTAGCCCAGTCCTGCACCTCTGCTTGGCCGAAAATGAGGTAGAAAATCAGGCCTAGTATGCCCACAGCAGCTGAAAGCAAGAAGACATTTCTCCAACCAAGCTCTGGATCCTGGAGACAGGAAACCACAAGTTATCATCAGTCTCCATGTTCTTGTCCATCCTGCTGCAGAAAGGCTCTGGCATTATGTTCCACTGACCCCCCCCCCCCAACTCTGCCCTAAATTATATATTCCTGATTGTTCCTAGAATTTCTGGTGCCCTGGCCTTTCCTCTGCTGGAATGTTTCTCCCCTCTGGTAGCCATTTGTCTCGCTCATGTGCTTGCTTCCCATTCTTATTTAAGTATTACTTTTTCAGCCACCCCATTTAAAACTGTAACCCTGCCCCATCTTACATGCCCTACTCTCCTCTCCTGCCTTACTTTTCTCTTAGCACTTACAATCATTCAGTATATCATGTTTTTGTTTAGTTTACTAGTTTTCTATTGCTTTTTTCCCCTACCATATCGACCTTATAAGGGCAGGGACTTTTATTTTATTCATTTAAACATTGCATGGCACATTCCAATATCCATTGCATACTTGTTGAATGAATGAGTGAGTAACAAGGGAAACAAAGGCAATTTGAGAATTTCTATTTTAAACAGCCATTTTCTGACAGTGTCTTAGGGGCTGGAAGAGAACTGAAGCTTCAAACAAAGAAACGACTTCATGTCAAGAAAAATACCCTTTCTTTGTTATTCTCTATTCATTTTCCTGGCTTACTGGTAGAAACCACAAGAAACTTAAAGAATGATTGTCATATACATATTTCTCACATAAAGTCTTTATCAAGTCTGAGTCATATGAAGTTGTCATCAGATGAATTTGTTTATTCTGACAATTTTAAATGCACCTCCCAGGACAGAAGGTTGTATGAGTGTAAAAACACTGTGTAAGCAATATTGGGCAGAGGAATTGCTTTACTAATCACTGGTCAACATATGTGTAAGGTGCAGATTGCTCCTTCACTCTGTCATCTACTCAGCATCTCACTCTGTAAATATTTGTTGGCTTCCTACATAGGATAACCAACTCTTTCCAGATTGCCTGGAACTTTCAAGGTTTTAGGATTAAAAGCTTCACATCCCAGGAAAGCCCTCAGCCCCAGGCAAATCAGAATGTTGGCTATTCTATACTTTACAAGAAATGCTGTGATTATTCCTAGAAAATTTGATTATTAGCATGAGACACTCATCTTCTAACAACTCATAAAGCATAAACTCATACAATGGAGCATTCTCCTTCACTTCATACCCTGAACATGTGGTGATTTCTCTGCTTAAGATGAGTCTAGGGAGAGAATGAGAGGCGGCTGGGTGACCTTTCTAGGTGACTTTGGTGACTATCATCAGAACAGTTGATCTTACCTGACTGATCAAAAATCCATTGACCATGGGAGAGATGGCTCCTGCCATGTAAGAAAAGATTTGTGATAGTGCCCTGAGTAAGGCACTGTACCTGGGAGAAAGCAATATTCCTGTGTAAGCATAGAGTTCATATCAGCTGATCTGTTGCCACTCTGTGCTTATCTGGGGATTCCTGGGGCTGTGTTGGTCCTTAGTCAAACCTGAATGGAATGTATTAACTAGTGATGCATATAATCCAGTGCCAGGATCTGGGATTTCCAGGGGGCTATAAACTGTACTAACTTGTCAACATTCTTTATACCAAACGTGCAAATTGATGGCTGGCACCTACTTCATATGTTCTCTTGGCTTCTGCTAAGAAGCCTTGTTTTTAGGTATAAAAGATCTCTCATTGGATGAGTCATTGGCTCCCCTGAGACTAAGGTATCTCCCATGTAATTTGATGGTTCATTATCTGAAGAGGAGGTGTGTCCTGTTGACTGTGAACAGTGCGTGGATGGTCCCTGGGAGCTGCACTTGGAAGCCTCGGTCATCTCTGATATTTACCTGTATCAGAGGTAAATGTTTCTCCTGCTATCCTCTGCCCACATTAAAGGCTTACATAAGCATACCCTCTGAAGTTTACGAGTCCTTTCAGTGACCCAGTCCTGTGTAACTGCTGCCTTCCCCAACAGAAAGAGATCGGCGTGAGTCTCCCACAGTTCAACTGTGAGTGCAGCCACTGGTGCCTGTTTTCATCTGGAAAAACTAATTTAATAGTGGTTGACGAGCTTTGAGTCCCTTCCAGGAGTTGTTTGGATGAGGGGTGGTGCTGAAATTTCCTATGACCCATAGTACATGTCACATTTTGCTCATGTGTGTCAGAGCAGATTTAGGGATACTGGATATGAACTGAGCTTCTGTGAGGATCAGGCAAAAGGGTCCCTACCGAGGAGCAATATCCATGAAGTTGACAAGGGCTCCTGATTGGGCGAAGCTTTTGAAGGCAGAAGAGATTGTCAAGAAGGCTATGGCAGTGCTGAAGCTGGATCTAAGCCAGAAAACAGATGTGAAGAGCACAGCTGGGAGGAGAACCCCTGGGGCAAGAGAACAAACAAAGAGTGAATAGGAAGCCTCCCTGAGGGTCCCACATCCACCCACTGTATCCACTTCAGTTCTTACCTATAGCAGTGAAGAGTTTCCTGATGGTACTGAGTCTGAGGACTTTTCTGGAGAGGAGAAAATCTGCCAGTAGACCTCCAGGGACAACGCAGATACAGGCAGAAGCAAACGGCAGGGCTGACAGTATCCCACTCTGAGAACCAGAACTGAGGTGAAGTGCATGCCTCACTACAGCCACCATGACATAGATTGATCCCTGGGTGGACTGTCTACATCTATAGCTTTTCTTGTATATACATAGCACCTTTAATAAAAACTTAAGTTACTGGAATGAGCCAATATGATTTTAGTGTCTGAGGAAAAATAAGCATTAAGTTCAAGTTGAAAAAAATGGACTAATGTTGTCATATATAAGGATCTTGTGGAAATAGATATTAAAAAGAACAAAAGCTAAGTAGAAAAATAGTCAAAAGGTATGAAAGACAAGTTACAGGAAAAAAAAAGTGATTCCTAAACATATTAAAAAGTAACCAACTTCATAATAGTAAAACTATTGTGAGAGAACATTTTGTCAAATTGGCAAGAGTGCAACAGTTTTTTGACATGATCTGTGGTGATGCCAAGGGGAATCAGGCACTTCCAAATATTAATGCCCAATTGAGGGCAATTTGTTAATAAATATAAAAGTTTATAGAGGAGGGAGATCAAGATGGTGGAGTAAGAGGATGCAGAGCTCACCTCCCCATGAACACATCAAAAATACATCTACATGTGGAGCAATTCTCACTGAAAACAAACTGGAGACTGGCAGAAAGACTGTTATCCAACCAACGCTGTAAGAAAGATCCACACGGAATTGGGTAGAAATGAAGAGAAGTGATCGGATCAGGACTTGCATCCTTAGGATGGTACACACAGAGGGAGAATTACACAGGTTCGGAGATCCTCCCTGGGGAGTGAGTGGTGAGAACCACATACTGAGTGCTACACCCTGGGGTCTGACACCAATAGTACAATTCCCCTTAGCTGATTTGAAAAATAGTGGGATTGATAGCCAGACTATAAAAAAAAAAAAAGAGAGAGAGAGAAAGAGAAACCTAGACTCCACTTACGAAGAGAATGCACACACTTGCTTACTCCCGAAAAAAGGCAGAAGCAGCAGATGGACACTGACAAGGACGCTGGCTGGTTTCCCACCACCGCGTAACACGCACACAACCTGAGCAGAGCACCTGCTGAGCCCCTCTTGCTCCCAGAGCAGCTCCACGCTGGGGAGAGGGCTGCCACACCTGAGAAGAGTACGCAGTTGTGAGGGAAAGAGGCAGCTCAGACTAAGCGTAATGTCTGAACATTGCTGGTGCCTATGAAGGCAGCAGATCAGGACGTGTCCAGGACTCTGACTGGTGGGCTGGGACTACCACAGCCCACACCCCAACTCATGTCAAGCACCCACTCCAGCTCCTCTTGCTCCAGCACTGTTCCTCCCTGGGCGAGGGTGCCAGTGCTGGGAGTGGGGAGAGCACACACAGAAGGAATGTAACCAGATCAGACCAACCCTTAAGGCTTTTGACCCAGAAACTTGGGACCCACCCAGCCACCCCCACACCAGCAGTGTGGTGTTGGCTGTCAAACTGAGGAGAAGCCCTGGCTCACAAGTGGCTCTTGCTCTAGCCCTTCCACCTCTAGTTCTACCTCTTACTCTCGACCATGGGGAAGCGTGACTCATGTTCAACACTGAACCTAGCTTTCCCACCAAAGACCCTGGGCACAACAGACTGCACAGGGATGCTTCTACATAAGGACACCCCTTCAAGTTTGAGATAGGTTAACTGTTTCACTTAATTTCATAGATACAGAGAAGATTAAGCAAAATGAAAAGACAGAGGAATTTAATTCAAAGGAAAGAATATGAAAACCCCTGGGGGAAAAAAAACAACTAATGAAACAAATAATGTATCAGAGTTCAAATAATTAGTAATAAGAATGCTAATCTGAATTAAAGAAATAGATAAACATAGTGATAATTTTAACAAGGAGATAAAAAATATTTTTTAAAAAGAGCCAGCCAGAACTAAAGAATACAATAATTGAAATTAAAAACCTATTGAAAAGAATTAACAGACTAGATGATACAGAAGAATGCATATGTGATCTGGAAGATAGAATAATGGAAATCAGCAATCAGAGCTGCAAAAAGAAAGATCTTTTAGAATGCGTTTGAACTTAAATGACTACCAGTTTAAAACAAGTAGATACAGGTAAACATACATGAGCCTAATAGTAACCACAAATCAGAAACTTACAGTAGATACAGGAAAAAAAAGCGGAGGTGGGGGGGATGTGTGTGAGAGAGAGAAAGGAACACAAGGATACCACTAAAACATCAAACCACAAGGTAATAAACTAAAAATAAAGGAGTAGAAAAGAACTACAGAAACAACCAGGAAACAAGTAACAAAATGGCAAGAAGTATATATCTACCAATAATCACTTTAAATGTCAATGGGCTAAATGCCCCAAACAAAAGACACAGGGCAGATAATTGGATTAAAAATCAAGACCCATCTGTATGCTGCCTGCAGAGACTCATTTCAGAATTAAAAGACACATACAGATTGAAAGTGAGGAGATGAGAAAAGATATTTCATGAAAACAGCATGATAAAATGGTGGTAGCAGCATTCATATTAGACAAAATAGACTTTAAAACAAAATCTGGAACAAAAAAAATAAAGGGGATTATATAATGATAAAGGGATCAATACAAGAAGATACAACACTTTCTAACATATATTCAACAGGAGCACCTAAATATATAAAGCAAATATTAACAGACATAAAGGGAGAAATTGACAATAATACAATAATAGTATTAACGCATCAGTTACATTAATGGACAGATAATTCAGACAGAAAATCAGTAAGGAAACAGTGGTCATAAATGACACAATAGACCAGTTGGGTTTACAAGACATTCCATCCAGAAACAGCAGAATACACATTGAAAAGTTGCACTTGAAATGTTCTCTAAAATGAGGGTACAAAACAAGTTTCAACAAATTTAAGAGGATAGAAATCATATCAAGCATTTTCCCTGACTACAATGGTATGAAACTAGAAATCAATTATAGGAAGAAAAAATAGGAAAAACAAACATGTGGAGACTAAAGAACATTCTACTTTAAAAAAAAAAGTGTCAATGAGGAAATCAAAGAGATATTCAGACAGTAGCTTGAGGCAAATGAAAATGGAACCACAATAATCCAAAATCTATAAGATGCAGCAAAAGCAGTTCTAAGAAAACAATGAAAACATGACAATTCAAAACCTATAGGATGCAGCCAAAGCAGGTCTAAGAGGGAAGTTTATAGCAATACAATCCTACCTCAGGAAACAAGAAAAACATCTAATAGACAACCTAACTTTACACCTAAAACAACTGGAAAAAGAAGAACAAAAAACCCCCCAAATTAGTAGAAGGAACGAAATCATAAAGATCCAAGCAGAGATAAAAAGAAATGAAAGAAACAATACTAAAGATTAATAAAACTAAAAGCTGGTTCTTTGAGAAGATAAACAAAATTGACAAACCTTTGGCCAGACTTAAAAAGAAAAAAAGAATCAAATCAAAATTAGAAATGAAAAAGGAGAGGTTACAACAGACAATGCAGAATTACAAAGGATTATAAGAAACTATTATGATCAACTATATGGCAATAAAATGGATAACCTGGAAGAAATGGACAGATGGACAGATTCTTAGAAAAGTTCAATCTTCCAAGACTGAATCAAGAAGTAATAGAAATTATTAACAACCCAACTACAAGCACTGAAATTGAAGCTGTGATCAAAAATCTCTCAGAAAAGCTCAGGATCAGATGGCTTCACAGGAGAATTCTGTCAAACATTTAGAAAAGAGTTCATGTCTATCCTTCTAAAACTGTTTCAAAAAATTGCAGAGGAAGGAACACTTCCAAACTCATTCTACAAGGCCACCATCACCCTGGTACCAACGCCAGACAAAGACAACACAAAAAAAGAAAACTACAGGCCAATGTCAGTGATGAACATAGATGCAAAAATCCTCAACACAATTTTAGCAAACAGAATTCAGCAACACATAATAAAGCTCAAAAACAATAATCAAGTTGGGTTTATTCCAGGGATGCAAGGATTATTCAATATATGCAAGTCAATCAATGTGATACACCATATTAACAAATTGAAGGATAAAACCATATGATAATCTCAATAGATGCAGAAAAAGCCTTTGACAAAATTCAGCACCCATTTATGATTAAAACTCTTCAAGAAATGGGCAAAGAAGGAACCTACCTCAACATAGTAAAGGCCATTTATGATAGTAATATAGTAGTAGTGAAAGTCATTCAGTCGTGTCCAACTCTTATGACCCCATGGACTGTAGCCTGCCAGGTTCCTCTCTCCAAGGGATTCTCCAGGCAAGAACATTGGAGTGAGTTGCCATTTCCTTCTCCAGGGGATCTTCCCAATCCAGGAATCAAACCCATGTCTCCTGCATTGCAGGCAGATTCTTTACCAACTGAGCTAGTAGGGAAAGCCTATATATGATAAGCCTATAGCAAATATTATCCTCAATGGTGGAAAACTGAAAGCATTCCCCCTAAAATCAGAAACAAGACAAGGGTGTCCACTTTCACCACTATTATTCAACATAGTTCTGGAAGTCCTAGCTACAGCAATCAGAGAAGAAAAAGAAAAGGAATCCAGATTGGAAAAGAAGAAGTAAATCTCTCACTGTTTGCAGATGACATGATACTGTACATAGAAAACCCTAAAGACAGTATCATAAAATTACTAGAGCTAATCAGTGAATTTAGCAAAGTTGCAGGATACAAAATCAATGCACAGAAGTCACTTGCATTTTTATATACTAACAATGAAAATTAGAGAAATTAAGGAAAAATCCTATTCACCATTGCAACAAAAAGATATCTGGGAATAAACTTACCTAAGGAGACAAAAGAACTTACAAAGAAAATTATAAGACACTAATGAAGGAAGTCAAAGATGACATAAACTGATGGAGAGAGATTCCATGTTCCTGGATAGGAAGAATCAACATTGTGAAAATGACTATACTACCAAACACAATCTACAGATTCAATGTGATCCCTATCAAATTACCAATGGCATTTTTCACAGAACTAGAACAAAAAATTTCACAATTCATATGGAAACACAAAAGACCCCGAATAGCCAAAACAGTCTTGAGAAAGAAGAATGGAGCTGGAGGAAATCAACCTTCCTGAGTTCAGATTATACTACAAAGCTACAGTCATCAAGACAGTATGGTGCTGGCACAAAAACAGAAATATAGACCAATAGAACAAGATAGAAAGCCCAGAAATAAACCCATGCACCTATGGGTACCTTATTTTTGACAGAGGAGTCAAGAACATACAATTGGGCAAAGACAGCCTCTTCAATAAATGGTGCTGGGAAAACTGGACTGCTATATGGAAAAGAATGAAATTAGAGCACGTCTTAACACCATACACAAAGGTAAACTCAAAATGGATTAAAGACCTAAATGTAAACCAGAAACTATAAAACAATTAGAGGAAAACATAGGCAGAAGACTTAATGACATAAATCAAAGCAAGATCCTCTATGACCCACCTCCTAGAGTAATGGGAATAAAAACAAAAGTAAACAAGTGGGACCTGATTAAACATAAAAGCTTTTGCACAGCAAAGGAAACTATAAGCAAAGTGAAAAGACACCCTCAGAATGGGAGAAAACAATAGCAAATGAAACAACTGACAAAGGATTAATTTCCAAAATATACAAACAGCTCATACAACTCAATACCAGAAAAACAAACAACCCAATCAAAAAGTGGGGAAAAGACTTAAACAGACATTTCTCTAAAGAAGACAAACAGATGGCTAACAAACACATGAAAAGATGCTCAACATCACTCATTATTAGAGAAATGCAAATCAAAACTACAATGAGATACCACCTCACATCAGTCAGAATGGCCATCATCAAAAAGTCTACAAACAATAAATGCTGGAGAGGATGTGGAGAAAAGGGAATGTTCTTGCACAGTTGGTGGGAATGTAAATTGACACAGCCACTATGGAAGATGGTATGGAGATTCCTTAAAAAACTAGGAATAAAATCACCATATGACCCAGCAATCCCACTCCTAGGCATATACCCTCAGTAAACCAAAACTGAAAAAGACACATGTATCCCATTGCTCATTGCAGCACTATTTACAATAACTATAACATGGAAGCAGCCTAGATGTCCATCGATAGATGAGTGGATAAAGAAGTGGTAGTACAGATACACAATAGAATATTACTCAGCCATAAAAAGGAACACCTTTGAGTCAGTTCTAATGAGGTGAAAAACCTAGAACTTATTATACAGAGTGAAGTAAGTCAGAAAGAGAAAGATAAATATCATATTCTAACGCACATATACAGAATCTAGAAAAATGGTACTGAAGAATTTCCTTACAGGGCAGCAGTGGAGAAACAGACATAGAGAATAGACTTATGGACATGGGGAGAAGGGAGGAGAGGGTGAGATGTATGCAAAGAGTAACATGGAAACTTAGGTTACCATATGTAAAATACATAGCCGATGGGAATTTGCTGTATGGCTCAGGAAACTCAAACCCAAGCTCTGTATCAATCTAGAGGGATGGGATGGGGAGGGAGAAGGGAGGGAGGTTCAAAACGGGGGGGAATATATGTATACCTATGGCTGATTCATGTTGAGATTTGACAGAAAACAATACAATTCTGTAAAGCATGTATCCTCAAGAAAAAGAAAAAATAGTTCTAAGAGCAAAATTTATGGCAATACAGGCCTTTCTCAAGAAAAATCTCACAATCTTGTATTTGAAAGTACAAAGTGTCCAGAGTCAACAGAAGGAAAGAAATAATAAAAATCAAAAAGGAAATAAAATATAGACCAGAAATAAATAGCTATAGAAAAGATCTGTGAAACCAAAAATTGCTTTTTCCAAAGGATAAACAAACTTGATAAAGAGCCAAGATTACCAAGAAGAAAAGAGGACCCAAATAAAATAAGAAGTCAAAGAGGAAAAATAACACTCAATACCATAAATACAAAAAAAAAAAATCCATAAGAGAATACAATGAACATATGCCAACAATTTGGACAATCTAGAAGAAATGGATACATTTCTAGAAACATACATAACTGAACCAGGAGTAGACAATCTGAACATACCAATCAGTAGTGATGAAATTGAATTTGTAATTAAAATAACAAACTCCCAGTAACAAAAGTCCAGAACAAAATGGCTTCACAGGGGAGTTCTATCAAACATATAAAGAAGAGCTAATACCTACTTTTCTCAAACTATTCCAGAAAAATGGAAGGGAGGGAATACTCTCAAATTCATTTTATGAGGCCACCATTACCCTATACCAAAATCAGATAAAGACCCTACAATAAAAGAAAACTATAGGCCATATCCTGATGAATATAGAAGAAAATACCCTAAACAAAATATTAACAAACCAAATTTGATGATATATAAAAAGAATCATACCCCATGATCAAGTAAGATTTATTCCAGGAATACAATGATGAGTCAGTATTCACAAATCAATCAATGTGAGACATCATGTTAACAAAAGGAACAGTAAAAATCACATAATCATGTTAATAGATGCAGAATAAAAGCATTTGACAGTTTAACAGCCATTCATGATAAAAATTCTCATCAAAATTGGAACATATCTCAACATAATAGAAGGCTAAGAAAACAGGGCATTTGGGGGACAGGAATGAGAGTAAAATTTTTCACCATGTCTTTTTATATATTTTTTAAAATGCTATCATTTCAATTCCTAAATCAAAATGTTATTAAAGAAAATGCAACATCCTTTGTTGTACATAATCCAGACAATGAAAAGGATCTCACTGTCAAAGGGTCCAAGATGTTTATTTTACAGATGAGTAAACCAAAGAATGGAGAAGGAAATGGCAACCCATTCCAGTATTCATGCCTGGGAAATTCCATGGACAGAGGAGCCTTGCCAACTATAGTCCATGAGGTTGCAAAGAGTTAGGCACAACAAAGAGTGGACAAAGAGTTGTAGTGACAAAAACAATAACAAACCAGGACCATCAGGTTACTGAGAAAAATACCCTGAGACCAATGGGACTCAAGGCCTCTTGATTTCTCAAGCTGGGGAAACACTACTGTCTGTTCTCAATTTTCCCTTCTAATCATTCCCTCATCACCCTCTTCCTCAGCCTTGGTTTCTGAGATTAAAGAGCCTACCCCACTTCACACCAGGGACCAATCACTTCCAACAGCTCTCAGCACTGGCATCCTGCTTGTCTAGACCTCCTGTCTTCCAATTCCTTTGCCTGGGATTCTGGTTTCAATTACCTGCTGCTGGCCCGCCCTTCCTCCTTTGGGAAGACCCATAGCTACTCTGTCCTTGGGCTTTCAGATCTCAGTTCCTCCAGACTGTTTGCATGTATGCCCTCTAGACTCTGACCTTGGGAAAGGTCAGTTCTTTGTTGACCACTTAGCGTGATTTCACCAGATGAGCCCCACTTTTTGTACAAAGGATAAGAATGAAACACTAATTCAGTGACCTAGTGAAGTGTCACTTACAAGCTAGAAGATGATACACCCTTCACCAATTTCGAGACACTCATCTGGCAGGAATTGATAGGCTCTTTTCAGCCATTCAGAGCATCTGTTCACTTTGTGAAAATGTGTACAGAGAAAGAAAATGTGTACATATAGAGAGCTGTACACATGTGCAGCTTTCACACTTTTCTTAATATATGTTACACTTGAATAAAAGTTTTTCTAAAAAAACATTTTCCACAAGTTTTTGGTACAAGTCCTATTTGGAACTTTATGTCCTTTTAATGTTGTAACATTGTTTATGCTTCTCTGTCACAGCCTTCTCAAAGGCAAATTTTGTTTTATTGTTTTATCACTTATGCTGCCAGCAGAATGTCTTGTTTGCAAATGTTGATTGGATTGAACATAAAAATTTCTGCATAGGTCCCTTAAAAAATATGCTATTCTATGAATGGCAAGTTGACCTAGAGCCATACCATTCTGCCCCCAATAAGCATGTTGACATGTTGAACTGACTCAGAATTCAAGTGAATCAGGTAGCATTTCCTCCATGAAGACCTTTGGCCTAAACCTGTGACTGTAGGAGAGAGAAGGGATTATATATAAAGCAACAGAAGAACAGAATGAGTTTTCTCCATACTTACATCTCTGATGTTAGCTTGAAATACAGAGGTGATGAACGTTGGTAAGTATGATGTCTGGACAAAAAAATGCCAGAAATCACTGAAGTAAAAGATGAGAATGCTCCAGAGTGGTAGTGATTTGATCATAGCTTTAATGGGAAGAGACCAGCCTGGTGGAGAACCCTGGAAGAAAGTACATACCAATATCAGATATGTATCTGAAGATCAGAACTCTGCTCTACTGAAGTCTTCACCACTGAGACATCCAGACAGACATGGGGAAATGGCAGAGGAGTTCCCCAATGCACCTGTTGAGCCAGTGAACAGACGATATATTCCTTCTCTCTAGTGCTAATAAATGGATGATTCACAGGGTCATCATAAATGACAGCAAACCAGAGAAAAGAACAGACACAGCCAATTCCACCTTAAAAAAAAAAAAAAGAGGTTCTACTTAGCACAGAATTGGACTTCTATCAGTTTGATTCTGCCTTGAGATGATTCCTGTGGTTAACAGAATGGCCCCATACTCCCCTCCTTCCTGCACATATCCCTTGCATATCATAGATGGAGGGTACTTCCTTACCACTTGACTTTGGTCTTGGCCGTGTAACTTGCTTTTGCCAGTGAAATGGGGCAATTCAGAGGCTAGGCTTTTAAGTAGCACTGCGTTTTTTTCACTCGTCCTCTTGTGTCTTAGCCATTGGCATGGGAAGAACATGCCCCAGCTCGTCCACTCTCTAAGGTGGATAAGAGACACGGAGAGCAGACCTGCGGAGCTGTCCCACAAAACTAAGAGACTCAATGTTGGTTGTTTAGAATCACTGAGTTTGGGGAGGTTTTGAAATGCACCAGTAGTAAGGCCATACATTGTTGCTAAAAGTTATTAGTGTGTTCATCCCATGTACTTGAAAATGCCCTCACTGTTGAAGTTACCAGTCAGCATCCCTCCTGCTAGTCATGCTTCACAAAGTTTATGTTGTATTAAATCTTTTCTTATTTATCTCTAACACTTAATGGTTAGCAGCAGTATATACAGTATATATGCAGCTGAGGTAATTTGCCCAGGTAATTTCTGGATATAGAATGAAATTAATCCTCAGTAAAGAAATTGTTTAATATATACATTATTACAGTGTTGGACAACTCAACATGATTAGTATTGTGTGGAAACATTCATTCCCTTTTTAGAATCTTAAGAGAGTCTTATTTTCTTCACTTGTTAGCTTGTTGTTTATACAGTCCTTCCCAAATATAGAACAGCCTGCCATATACCAGGCGTTTTGCTTCATGTTGAGAATATAAGAGTATAAAGACATGATCTTGCCATCAAGAAACTTAAAAGCAAGAGGGGAGGGGAGTGAGAGAGATGAAAATTAGCCCTATTACATGTTAAGGATGGAGGATGTTAGCACTGATTCAGCAATATTTACTGAGTTCTTATTCTGTATATATTACTTACCTTTTCCCAAAACCAGGAGCACGGTAAGCCTCTCTCATTCCCTGAAAATTTTGTAACCTGCCCTTCTGAAAGTCTCCATGACAGAGCCTTTGAAGACTGATATGCTATAGTATAGTAAGCAATCTTCATACACTTTTATTCTCAGCAGATTTACTGACCTGATGTTATAAGAATCCTGGATCTAAGACTACTATCCTCTAATGAAAACACCAATGAGACCAGTAAGTTCCACTGGAATCAGGCCAGTTTGCAGATGGGATTCTGGAGAATGTTTCAAAAATCAAACAAAGATTAGTTGAAAGCATTTGGGAAGATTTCACACAGGGCTGAGTAAAGGCAAAATTGTGAAGTGGTAGAATGTCATCTCTGGAAGACTGTGATCTTCGGAAACTTTCCCAACATCTCTGTATATTATTGTCCACTGCTGAGCCTCACAGGATCTGCTCTGTACTGCAGCCTCTACTGATTGAATCTCTACTCCAATCAGTATTTTGGGCTTCCCAGGTGGCACAGAGAGAAAGAATCTGCCTGCCAATGCAGGAGACACGGAGTTTAACCCTGTTGGGCAGATTCCCCTAGAGAAGGAAATGACAACCCACTCTTGTATTCTTGCCTGGGAAATCCCATGGACAGAGGAGCCTGGCAGGCTACAGTCCATGGGGTCACAAAGAGTCCGACACACCTGAGCAACTGAGCATGCATGAAGGTCAAATTCCCATAATTTTCTGGTTGTAGTAATAACAGAAATTTAAAAGAAGGTACTGAATAAATTTTTGTTGTTTAGTTGCTAAGTCGTGTCCGAATCTTTTGCAGCCCCATGGACTGTAGCCTACCAGGCTCCTCTGTCCATGGAATTTCCCAGGCAGAAATACTGGAGTGAGTTGCCATTTCCTTCTCCAGGGGGTCTTCCTGATCCAGGGATTGAACCCATGTCTCCTGCATTGGCAGGCAGATTCTTAACCACTGAACCACTGAGGAAGCTTTAAATAAATAGCATAACTAAAAATAGAATCTCACTAAGATTACATATGCAGCATTTTATGAAAGAAATCCTTCTGAGGTCCTTTGTGGGTTCAGTTTAGAAGCAGGAAGGAACATTATGATGCCTTTAAACTCATCAGGTTATTCTAGCTCTACACTCAGGATATTAAAACTTAAATGTCACTTCAAGATTTACCACATGATTAGCTCTGAACTTTATCTACTAGGATTTGGTTAACCATAGATGACCTGCATCACAGAAATCATGCCCAGCAGTCTCGGTCATAAAACAAGATTCTGAGATTTGAAAAGCACAAACTCACCAAAGATATAGAAGACATAAGGCCATCCTATAGTCTGGCAGAGGTAACCACCGACAATGAAGATGATGAAGCAGCCCAGCACTGACCCTAAACAGAAGATGTGAAGATGATCTGGGTGAGAAGGTCAGACTCAAGACTCTAGGTGCTTCCTATAGACCAATGTCATTACAAAGCTAAGCTGCAACCCAGGCTACCTAAGTTCAGATTCTGCTCCTTCACTCAGTAGCTCTGTGATTCTGGAAAAGTTATCAGTCTGTTTGTGTCTCTTATTCCCTTCTGTGTGAAATGGAAATAATTATATGTAACTGAGTTGCAAGATTTCTTTGAGACTAAAATGAAATTAAAAGCACTTGCAAGAATGTTTGGTGCCCAGGAAGCATTTGGTTATGATCAAGAAAGATAGGATAGTTTAGGTTAGCTCCTGTAAAGCAGGGAGACAGTACTTACAGTGTAAGGTTTGGCTTCTGTTGATAGGCTGTGGCAGAGTACTCTTGGACAAAGCATAGTGAAAGTCACTAAAAAGTCATGTCCAGCTCTGCCCAGTCCACCCAATGCCGTGTGGGTGTCTGACTCTTTGCAACCCCATGGACTATACAGTCCATGGAATTCTCTAGGCCAGAATACCAGAGTGTGTAGCCTTTCCCTTCTTCAGGGGATCTTCCCAACCCAGGGATAGAACCCAGGTCTCCCACATTGCAGGCAGATTCTTTACCAGCTCAGCCACAAGGGGCAGAGTATACAAGGTGATAATTACGGTATCAATTACCTGCTACAGCAATGGTGATGAGTTGACTCCTTTCTTGTGGTGGAGCCCATCTAGCCCAGATTGAATACTGACTTGTTAATAACACAACCTGAAATAAAAAGTTGATTCTTGGCTATCTGAGGTCATTTTGGAACCTAATTTTACACGTACTTAGAAAAAGTCTTGGTACCTGGACTATGCCTTGGATGACCCGTAGGACAATGAGCACAGTCACTCCAGTATCAGCTGCTAGTGGAGTGAAGAGCGCCAGGACTGAGGTAATAAACATGCAGGTACCAGACAAGTACCTGGTTCCAAATACTTCAGCCATATAGCTACTGGGAATTGGAGCCAAGAATGAGCCGTAGTTGAGTGAGCTGAGGATGATCCCCTGAATTTCAGGACTCCAGTCATACACAGCAGCCTAGATGACAAAGAGAAACTCACTGACTAGAGACTCAACAGTTTTTATCGTCAGGACTTGAGATTCAAGAAAATGATTGGCAGTTCTCTTTCCTTTTACCTCTCTCCAGTTCCTCAATCTACCAATTTTATCAGTAAAACCTAAATATATGCCCAATATACTGTTTCCCTTACTCACTTTCCCCAGCTACACAATTAACTGAGAACCAGTAAAGAAAGAAAACTTACAAAGAAGAAGGCATCATAGACAAGGTAATAAAAAAAATATGTGAAGAAAGAGAAAATAGACATAAATCTGTAGAACTTACTTTTTGGTGATTTTCATCATTGTAGGGGAAGAATTTACCCCTACTAAATGCTAAAGATCTGTTCCTTTCATTCTAACAGTAGTCCCTAGGTACACCTATAGACACTAACTAGTATAAAATCTCAGATGCATATTATGCTTTTGTGTAATATAGTTCTTTGAACATAGTATATCTTAGCACATAACTCTTTAGGTCAAAATATGTGAGTCAAAGAAAGGATCCAGAGTCTCATTCAACTTACCACTGCCTTAGATTCGTTCAGAGTTTCATTCCAGTTGTCCTGGGAGTCAGTGGGTGGCCTTTCTGTGGAGGCATTGGGTGAACTGGGCAGAGCTGTGTTGTTCACCATAACTGGCAAGGCAATGCTCATGTTCATTTGTTGGGTTGAAATCGAAAGATTACACAGATGCAGGATAAGGGCTAGCCCATGTCGAACTGAACAAAAGCCTGAGACAAAAGGTACAGATAGTCTTATAAAAGGGTGCTTTTGTCCCACCCTTCCTAAGTCTGGACGTGGGAGATTGCAGTCCATCTGTGAAGCAGAAATGCAGAGAGCAGAAGTGACACTCTAGGTGTTCAGCAAACACCTGTACCCCTTGGAGTATGGGGGTGGGGAGTGGATAACTCCATCAGAACCATTATTTAAGCAGAGACTTGAAGAATATATGGAATTGGCCAGAGCAAACAAAAGAGTTTCCCAGTCAATGTCCTGGCATGTGCTGATGAGAGCAGGACTAGAAAGAAGTAGATTTAGGGAAAGAATTAGCTGAAAGTTGTGATTGATTGGATATGGATAGTAAGAGAGAATTTTGTTGGAAATGATTCCCAAGTGCCCCACTTGGACGCTGGGATGGCTTTCAGTACCAAATGTAACCAGGAACATGGTAGATTAATATGTCCGGGGGCTGAGAGGAAATGAGATTTGAAAGGAAGGTTAGTTAGACCATGGAAGTATTTAAACAATATCTTGATACTGTAATCCAGGCTTGCACATAATTTGCCAGTGATCCATGAGAACTCTGAGGTTATCCCTGGGGTTGAGTCCAGATACATTAGTTTGACAACAGCTGATAGAATTGATTCATCATCCCTGGAGAGAAATTCCAGAGGTGTGATGCATAATCAGTATCCTTAGGGCAGGTGGATGCCCCATTTCCTGGCTCCTGCAAGGGAGTAAACAGTTGGGGTGGCCAGTACTGTCCCCTGTTGTGTAGCAATACTCTTGTTAAGTTCTAGAAACTGACAGACAGATCCCCACCTTTTGTTTAACTCTGGGAGCATTTAGTTGAGACTATCCCCTCCCCTGTCCACAAAATTTATACTAGAATTTTGATCAATATCATATTGATATGGCAGATTAAGAGGGATTGCTGTATTTATAGTATTGCCTTCTCTTAGCCAAGAGCAGAGATGGCTCCCCATTAATTCAAGTTCTTTCCTTTGTTCCAAGGTAGAATTTTGTAATTAATCTTTAGTTAAGTCACAAGCTTTTTTAAAGTACTTTTCTGTGGTTTCTTAACTGAGTCATTTTCTCCTGTCATTTTCACTGCCCCCCCTCCTTAGGTTTAGACAAGAAAATCAAACACATACACAGGTTATATACAAAATAATGGGAAAAAATAGGTGTTTATTTTTGCCATTTGTAACATTTACTTTATTCTCTTGGGTAATTTTATTCACTGGCAGTTTCTAAACACTGGTAAGTAGGAATGGTGAAAATGGGCAGTCATGTGATACCTGAATCTACTGGGAATACTTCTAACTTTACTTATTAGGTATATTGCTAGGTGTTGGTGGGAATTATACTTTTATTGTATTAAGCTACCCTATTTTTATTTTTAGAAGAATGTAATAAGTTTGATCAACTATATTTTAATCATAGAGCCAGACTCCTGGGTCTGCTCTCTTTACAGCTGTGTATTCTTGGGCAAGTCTCTGAACTCTGTGTGGCTTCAATTATTTCACCTGTGAATTAAGGTTAACCATAGAGACTCAAGGTGGTGTGATGAGATTTGAAAGTTTATATAAGTTCCTTATTGAAGAAGAAAAAAAATGGCAACCCACTCCAGTATTCTTGCCTGGGAAATCCCATGGATAGAAGTGCCTGGCAAGCTACAGTCCGTGAGGTCACAAGAGTCGGGTATGACTTAGCTATTAAACAAAAAATAGCAACAGCAATATAAATTCATTATAGCTATTAATATTCAAATAGCCTTATATTCTTAGGATGACCTCTTCTTAATAGGCTGTTTTAATGAAAACACATGATTTATTTTGCTAATATTTTAGCTAGAGTTTTACATTAGCATATATAACTGAGCTTAGTTTGTAGTTTGTGAGTGTGTGTGTTTGTGATGTTTTGCCATGCTAGCTTTGTAAAGAAAGGAAGTTTTAGGCTTTCCATCTCAATATGTGATCTGAAGTATTTTAGATACCAAGTCATTTTCTCTTTTCTTAATATGTTTAATTATAGAACAGTTTCAGACTTACAGAGTTATTGAGCTCCTGTGGACCTCATACCATTTCCCCTGTTATTAACATCTTAAATTGGTATGGCACAGTTGTCACAATTAATGAACCTACATTAATTAGTATTATTAGCTAAAGCCTATTCTTCATTCAGAGTTCTTAGTTTTCACCTAATAGATTTTTTTTTCTGTCCCAGAATCCCGTTCAGGGTCCCATAACCCAATTAATCACCACATGTGGAATCCTTTTGTCTGTGACAGTTTCTCTGACTTTCCTTATTTTTGATGATTTTAACAATTTTGAAGAATATCGTCAAATATTTTGTAGATTGTCCTTCAACTGGGATTTGTCCAATATTTTTCTCATGATGAGACTGAAGTAATGTGCTTTTGGAAAGGATGACCGTAGAGGTAGACTGCTGTTTTCATGACATCATATCAAAAATACATGCTATCAAGGTGATCTCTCACTGATGACATTAACCTTGATCACCTGGCTTGGAAGTAGTGTTTCCTAGGGTTTTAATCGTGAAGTTGACTTTTTATTCTTTCTTTATTTATTCTTTTATTTATTATTTCCATACTATGCTCTGGAAAAAGTCACGTGCACAGTCCACACTTAAGGAGTGAAGAGCTTTATTTCACCTTCGTCTCCATAAATTATTTGGATTTCTTCTGCATAGAAAATATCAGTATTTTCAGCTCCTTAAAATTCTCATAGAATTTTCTAGTGAATCTACTAGGGCACAGTTTGTTTTGTTTAAAAGAAATAACTTCTGAACAACTTTCTCACCCTATTACACAGTTGTTTTTTGGGATGCACAATATTTCTTAATTCAAACTTATAAATTCTATTTTCAGAGAAAATCATGTACTTTATTCCCCTGTAATTAGCACCTTATACCTTTTAAATACTTCTCTCCCCCTTTCTCCCATGATTGCTTTATTTAATCTCTCTAATCAACCTGAGTAGTAAATTGTCTTATTGCTGTGGAATAGAAATCAGTTCTTATATATATTTTCCATTTCAATTCCCTTCATAATTTGAGTTTATGTTTTTTATACATTTGTCTTCTTTGGTTTTCTAGATACTTTCCTGGAAGTTATAAACTCAGTAAACTGGATGCTTAATTAACTTACTTTTATTTATTTTTGAAGAATCTTTGTTACTTTCTTCACACCCATTATCTTTTTTTTTAATTATTTATTTGTTTATTTTTGGCTGTGATGGGTCTTCATTGCTTTGAGGGTTTTTCTCTAGTTGCAGCAAGCAGGGGGCTACTCTCTAGTTGTGGTGCATGGGCTTCTCATTGCAGCAGCTTCTCTTGTTCTAGAGCCGCACCCCAGGCTCTAGAGCACAGGCTCAATAGTCGTGGTGTACGGGCTTAGTTGCTCCACTGCTTGTGGGATCCTCCCAGATCAGGGATCAAATCCACGACTCCTACATTGGCAAGAGGATTCTTTACGACTGAGACAGCAGGGAAGCCCCACATCCATTATCTTTTGAATCACTTCCTTACTGGGGCTTCCCTGGTGGCTCAGATGGTAAAGAACCTGCCTGCAATGCGGGAGACTTGGGTTCGATCCCTGGGTCAGGCAGACCCCCTGGAGAAGGGAATGGCTACCCACTCTAGTATTCTTGACTAGAGAATTCCATGGATAGAGAAGCCTGGCAGGCCGCAATCCAAGGGGTCACAAAGAGTTAGACTGAACTGAGTGACCAAGCCTCAGTTCTATATTGCTGATTTGATTTTTTACAGTGATAATTTCTTTCCTTGCTACTACTAATCTTGTTTTAGTTCTGAAGTGACATTTTTTCTCTTTAGTTTCCTTTCTCATCGTCTTTCATATTTTCATGTCAATTTACTTCATACATGCTAAGCTTTTTTTAAAAAGTAGTCTTGAGAACTTGGAGAAATGTGAAATGAAAATACTCTTCAATTTCCCCAAATAAGCACAGCACTGTAATATAACGGTTAATAATCAGACCACTCTAGTTTAAATCCAGATAATACCTGTTTGTGCCTGGATGACATAAATGAGTCCTTAAATGAGGACTTAATCCCTCTGTACTTGAGTTCTTGCTCCTGAAAAATGGAGATGATGCTGGCAGTATGTTCTTTGAAGGATTCTCGTGAGGTTTCAATGAATTAATTCATATAAAGTGCTCAGTACTTGATAGACATGCTTTCATTATGCAGTGATCTGTCTTTTATGTATTTGTTTCCTTTTCTGTGTGTGTGTGCTAAAGTACTGGGTTGACCAAAGATGTTTTGGAAAAACTGAACAAACCTTTTGGCCAACTCAGTATTTATATAGGTCCCTTGTGGCTCCCACCCACACCCCCAGTCTTGGACTATAAAAGTCAATTGTGTGTGATTTTGCTCCTGTGTGATATAACCCTTGCAATGGGCCACCTTGGCTCGTTGAAAGCCTGTTGTCATGTGCTGATAGTATTATGTGTGCATATGGTCAAGAAGCAGGTGGTGGGAAGAGGGCACCTTGGAATTTTGTCACCAATTCAGGGAAAACTAGCTACTCTTGCACTTTAATTCTACAATGACATTGCATAATTTGAGGAACCCCTCCCCCAATTTCCAAGTTAATTTCAGCAATTGTGGAAGTTTTCTCCTGCTCTGTTGCACTGGCCCAAGATCCTAAGCTACAGACCTTTAGAAAGACTAGTGAGCTGTGAAGGGGGAAACATCAAGATGTGGGCACAGAGCAGCTTCCCCCACCATATCCCAGTACTGCAGACTTCACCTTGTCTGTGGTGACCTCACCTGGCCCGTGGTCCACCAGCCTTGAGATGCTGGAGAGTGTCTAAGCTGGAGATCTTGACCCCTGGCTTCACAGTGCCCTCCTCTTTCTGCCTGTAACATGGGGCCATGCTCCAAGGATGAGTTTTGTCTCCTCTTGGCATCCTCTTAATTCATCCAAATTATATTAAATCTGGCAAGGAGCCTTAGAATTTGTAGTGTGTGATAGGAACAATTCCCAAGTTTTAACCTAAGTAAAAATATTTTCTCAAGGTGTTGTGCTTATTTTATTGATTTCTGTGACTTTCAGAAAGGAACATTATTGCAGACTCATCTTTTGGGGCCATTCCTAACATAGGCCAGGGTATATTTAACTCTGTGCCAGCTTTTGATAGGCAGCAACGAAGCAGTGTACAGTGTTGTCTATTAATTCTCACTGCCAGGCCTGCCCTTCTAAGTTCTTCACAGTAATAGATAAATACCTGGAAACGATAATCCTCAACCTACGTGTATACAAGCAGGGTTCCAATTACAAGAGCATTAGGACAAAATTTGGAAGGCTGAACACAGTGAGAGCTGAACACTGTGCTGAGGAGGCCACTACAGCAGGGAGTAGGAGGATCAGTAATGGTAGACAGGGTTTTTTCCTGGGCCTGGTACTCTCCTGAATATCCCCACTATGTGCTCCACAGGATCGCTAGCTGTGTCCCATCCGTCCTACACTTCAGGATTTCCTCCAAGTGCCTAACTTGACTTCTTCCCCAGCCTCCCAAAGTCTGTGAACTATTTTCATCTTCTATATTAAACCTCTTTTTTTTTTTCTTGAATTACCTAAAGTGGCTTCCATTTATCTGACTGAACCCAAGCAGAAGCTCATGGGCCTTTGGTAGAGAAACGATAGGAAGGTCAAGGTGATGTCTGTCCCTACCCTGCCATATGAACCCTTAATAGAGCCTGACCTCTGGCAGAAACTGAAGGTCCATCTCTTTTCACCTAGTGTCTCTAGAGACATAGGAGCATAAGCAAGTCTTTCCTGTGGCCACGTGACCAGATATGACATATAATGGGGGAGAGGGCATTTCCCCACGTGCCATGGAACACCTGGATTTGATTCTCTGAGCATCTTAGAAGCACAATCATGCCCAGTGAAGATGTCAGTAATCTCTGGGGGTCCTGGCCCTGGGAGAAAGCCCCAACAGGGCCCTGAGAGAGAATCAGAGGACCCAGCAGTGCCCAGTGAGAATGAGCTAGAGAGAGAGAGGAAAGAAAAATTGGTGTTGGACGCCAACTGAAGAAGCAGCCAGCAAGGCTTATTCATAAACATTTATGAGAAATACAAAATAACTAAGTGGGACATTGAGGAGTGGTTGAGGTTCTCTCTTATAAGGTGGGAGTAGAATCAGCCAAAACAAAAGATGAATGTTATTAGCATAATGCCATTTGTGATAACAGGCTGGGGTCAAGAGGTGGTCACCAGGAGAAAAGCAGCATGGTGGGGTGGATGCCCTAAAAGACTATGGAAGAAACTAGAAAGACCACATTAAGTTCCACTTTTAGACAAATTAGCCCAGAGTTCCAATGACTGCTGAAAAGTGGGCTGAGGAAGAAAAACTGTATGAGAGGTGATTATGATAGTGAAGTTTATACAGTGCTTAACTACATGCCAGACATTGTTCTAAATGGTTCACATATTATAACTAATTTAATCCTCATGGAAATCCTATGAGATAAATACTGTTGTTATCATCTCATTTTTACAAATAAGGAAACTGAGACACAGGAAATTTAAGTAACTTGCCTAAGGTCACACAGCTCATAAATTGCAAAATCAGGGTTGCTAACATAGGCAGTGTAGCACCTTAATCTGTACTCTTACCTAATGTGCTATATTGTGCCATGAAAACTGTTTATAAGTTCTCTGTTTATAAGTTACTGATTTTTAGAGAGAAAGAGTTGGGATAAGAAAATTTGGCCAATGGCATAGAGTCAAATAGTCTCCTATTATTTAGAAATGGATGGGATCTTAGAAATACAAATGCTTCCACTTTACAGATAAGGAAGCTGAGGCAATGGAAGAGTATTCATTAAATGTCAGATGGTAGTTAATTGTAGGGTGAGTAGTATTAAATAGCATGCATGTCTCCTGATTTCTTCTTTGATGGATAAGATTAGGTAAATGCCCTTTTCCTTAAGGCATGTTCACTTGCCAGCAGATATAACTGGCTAAAATGTTGAGTCTCACAAAGCATTCCATCTTGGTTAATGTTTTACTTTTAAAAAGCATTATCTTATGAAAAGCCTATATGCTTAAGAGAATTAGTGAATAAAATAGTTATAAGTCATTTAGAGTTTAGAGTAAAATAAGGTGTTCAACAGTTTCCCTTATGATGTATTATTGAAAAAGTATTAGTTGCTCAGTTGTAACCCCATGGACTTAGCCAGCCAGACTTCTCTGTTCATGGGATTTCCCAGGCAAGAATACTGGAGTGGGTAGCCATTCCTTTCTCCAGGGGATCATCCTGACCCAGGGATTGAACCCAGGTCTCCTGCATTGCAGGCAGATTCTTTACCATCTGGGCCACCAGGGAAGCACCAATGTATTATTCAATATATTATTGAAAAGCACTAAATTGTAACTTAACTGAGAGGGAGGAGGATGTGTGACTTCTATGATATGGTGTAAAGAAAAAGCCTGTTCTCCTTGAGGTAGATCTAGATCTAGTATGAGTGGAAAGATCAAAGGGGATGGTCTCTGGACTTAGTATCAGAAAAACCTAGATTGGTTTCCATATTTTCTATTTGACATCTGCTCTAAATTTTGTTCTTTATCTCTGCCTAACGTCTTGATGATCTAGAGTCTTGATTATCTACCTGTCCTATATACCTTCAAGGTTTCTTGCAAGAAATGAAGTAATTCTCAGTAAAAGTGCTTTACAGCTATTTAGAATTCTTGGCAATGTGTAGGATCAAGAAGAGGCTGTACATCACCAAACAAACAGTGACATAGATCCCAGTTTTAGCCACACCCCAGTACACGATTTTACCTTTCCTGGAGGTTTGCACTTGAGCCGTGTTTACAGTATCATTATTGACAGGACCTCCCACTATGGTTCCAGCTTCTACTATATTAGACATTTTGATTCTCTTCTCCCAGAGACTGGTGTTTACCTACTGAAATAAAAGCAAATATAAGAAGAGGTGTCCTATAGCGCAGCCCCAATTCTTCTAAGAAGTAGGAGGAAATGTTTAGTGGAAAACGTGCTAGATTAGCATTCAAGAGACATGATTTGTTGTCCAGATTCTATCACTATCCAAATGTGTAGTCTTGGGAATGGCACTTCTCTGCTTTTCTCAAATGAGGGATCTGGTCTGGCTTGCCTTAACAGATTGTAATATTCTTTCGAGTTCTATGTTCCCATGTCTTTCAGCTGCCATCAGTAGCAACTGGATGTTAAAACCGGACAATCTTCTTTGAAATTTCACATGGAAAATTCCAATGGATTAAATAACTTGAAAAACTAGATCTGCTAAGTAAGATCTAGATATACAAAACAGAATCTAGCAAACATCTTTTTTACTATTTATTGATTGATTCTTGGCCGTGCTGGGCCTTCATTGCTGTGCCTGGGCTTTCTCAGTGCTCAGGCTTCTCTTGTGGCAGAGCGTGGGCGCCAGGGCATGTGGGCTCAGTAGTAGTGGTGTACAGGCTCAGTTGCCCTGTGGCACATGAGATCGTCCTAGACCAGGGATCGAGCCCGTGACCCCTGCGTTGGCTGGCAGATTCTTTACCACTGGATCACCAGGGAAGTCCTGAGTAAGCATCCCAAGTGATGGGAGAAACTTGAGAAGGAGAAGTTTGTGCCTCAGACACAAACTGAGGCAAAGAACGTGAGAAAGCTTCTTTCGAGGAAGTTGCTGATCTGCGCATCACTCATTCACCCTGACTTCATGAAAGAGATCAGGTGGATGCCGCCCCTTACCCCAAGTCAAACAATCTGGGCTGCCTGCAGCGGGATCGTCCAGAGCTTGACTTATGTCCCCTGGAGGTGGTGTGTGTGTGTGTGCACCACTCCGTGTGTATGAGAGAGAGAAGGAAACTGATAAGTAACACAGACCTCCGAATCGAAGGCCACGGGGCGGCGCCTCACGGCCTGAGGCTGCAGGGCAGAGAAGGGGCCCGCAGCACATCGGAGGGTCGTGAGACCTGCCACAGCAGCATGTGCAAAGATGCCTGGACAGACACATGCAGGTTCCTTCTGAGCCAGATATGAACGACTCGACAGGTCCGAGTTATAGGCTTTTAAAATCCTGCCAAGAGAACTGTCTTGAAGGACCACACGACCTCCCAAAAGGTGGGGTGGAGTGCCGGATGCCCAACGGCTGAGGGAGGAACAGTAAGGGCTGAGCAGAGGGCATGGGAGAGACTGATGGGTGTCCCCAGCAGAGAACTCTCCAGAAGACTAACGCTGAGCATCCACCCAAACCTAGAGAGCCCCAATGCCAGATCTTAAGAGTCCAGGGAACAACCATACTTCCTGCCTCTTACCGACCACCCTAACCACCAGCCTGAAATGGATCAGAAGCCTCAGTTACCAGGAGGGGCAAGAGGAGGAGTTGACAGAGAAAGGGAATAAGAAGGCAAACCAAATCTTCCACCACCACCCTCCCCAACCAGGCCCAAGCTGGAGATGAGAAGTTCTGCTTCTAGATAAAATTTGGGAGTTGTATGCTTTTCATCAGACTGGAGCTATGAATTATCACATGAGATTATTTGGAGGCTGTAAATAACCAATGGCTTTTTCAATCTCTGAAAATTATCAGAAAAGTTATGGAGCTGAGCAGAGGTAAAAGGAAGGGAAGGCAGGGACTTGCTTGTAAAATAAAAGTTCTAATTTCTCTCTATGGAGTACTACTTTAATTAGCATAAGAGCATGGATATATCTGATTCTTTGATGATATTGTTTTTAAGTGTAATCGGAAACATTGCATAATGTCTGTGTTGTGCACATCACAGCTACAGTGGGTAGTGATTAGCTAATACAGCAGTTGCCTCATTATATCATTTTAAAACACAGAGATTATAGACCAAGGAGCCCTCCAGTCCATGTTGAAATTCAGAAACAAACTGAACGTTGAATTGGAATTCAAATCATTGCTCATTGGCAAAATAGAGTAGGCTTGATAACTGACAAGAAACCTGCCACAAGAAGGGACTGAATATCCCGGTATAACAGTAGTTTATGCCTGTCAACCCTGTAGGGCAATTAGTTCGAAGACATAGCATTCAGAGGAATGTTTTTTCCCAAAGGTTATACCTATCAAGGAGCTTCCCAGGTGGCTCAGTGGTAAAGAATCCGCCTGCCAATGCAGAAGACTCGGGTTCGACCCCTGGGTCGGGAAGATCCCCTGGAGGAAGAAATGGTAACCCGCTCCAGTACTCCTGCCTGGGAGATACCATGGACAGAGGACCCTGGCTGGCTATAGTCCACGGGGTAACAGAAGAATCAGACATGGCTTAGTGATTAAATAACAACAATACCTAGCAGGACTCTTCTAGTGTACCAGCACCTGAAAGTTCACTGACCACTAGTTCATTCATTGATTCTGTAAATATTTGTTGAATCAGTAAGTGGAATATTTTGCTACCTTAGCTCTTTCTCTTGCATTTATGACGGAAGGACTTAGTTTTCATTAAACTTCTCCTCTCCATACTTATTGTTACAGAAGTGCTTACTAGTTTCTGGTAACCAGCAATAATGTCAGCATATTGTCCAGACCTGCATCCCTTACCCTGTATCTGCTTTGTCCCAATTTCCACTGCCTTGTTAACCCCAGTAAAGTCTTCAGGAGAGGCAAAAAATGAAAAGAAAGAAGAATGACACTTGGTATGAAGATAATGAGAGTCACACTTAGAACAACTTAGTAACTAGCATCACTTTGCCAAATCTAACTACTTTACCTGGTCATGTGAGGAAGTTATATCCAAGCTGAAATGGAAATGGTGAGAAAGAGGCAGCTCTGAGCAAGGGCATTCCAGGCAAAGAAACAAAGCAAGATTGCCCAGCATGACCAGGGCAGAGTGAGTGAGAAGGTGAGAAGTGAGATCAAAGTGGTGGTTGAGGACACACCATGTAGGGTCCTGTGGGTAGGTAAGGGGACTGGATTTGCCTTGACTGCTGTAGGGGGCATGGTCTACAAGGGTCATGACTGGGAACCAAGAGACTTGAGAAGAGGCTGTCATAGTTACCTGTTCAAGAGTTGATGGTATCCGGGCTGGGCTGTCATGGGGATCTGTTTTGGAGCTAGAGGCAAGAAGAATTGCTCATGAGGTGGATAGGGGATCAGGAAAAGGGGGGACTTTTTTTGGAGACTTCTATAATTATGGCTTGAGTGAGTGAGTGAATGGTGGTGTGTGCTCAGTGGCAGTAGGGAGATAAGCAAGAGGAGAGCAAGTTTCCCAGAAGAAAAACAGGAGTTTCATTTTGGACATGTTGGGTTTGAGTTGCCTGTTTGATCCAGAAGGGAAGACTGCCGAATAGGCATTGTGCCTATGAGTTGGTAGCTCGGGACAGAGGGCCCAAGTAGAAATATAAATTTGAAAGTCATCAGCCTTATCTATTTACTTAGAGACCAGGTAAATGAGGAAGAACCAGCAAAAAAAATTGGGCCATTCATTCTTGTATCAATTCCCTATCACTTTCTCTGACCAAGACTGTTTCTGTGTCTATTACCTTTGCATTAAATATATCCTGGCCTTCTGCCATTGATTAGTTCACTGTAGAATGAGACTCTTCCTTAAGGTAACAGGCAGAGCTATTAATAGCACAAATGTTAGCTTTGTCTGGTCTCAGCACTAAGCATTTCCTGTATATAAGAACAGTTCATGGCTCTTATTCATAGCCCCCAAATTAAAGTTCTCTGCCCCAAACTCTTCACTCATTACCTACTTCCCAAAGCCCTGTGGGATTTCATTTTGTTTTACTTTTCCCCATGCATGAATTAATTGGAAAGGTTAAGTCTATTTTGGTTATTTGATCTGTTAACCCCTATGAAAATATCCCTCTGCCAGAATTTACATTTATATATGAACTGATTTTTTTAAATTAATGCATCCCATAAAAACAAGCCCAGTTTAGGAATCTTAAACTACAGATTATCTAGTCTAATTTCAATAAATGGGTGATATTAACTCTAAAAAGTATAATTTTAAATTATTGATTTGCCTCCAGGTCTCTGTGGCCATCCTTTTGGATAATTTTATTCCCAGAGTTTTATTCCCTAGAGTTCTGGGACCTTGGTTTCTTTTAGGTAAAAGTAACATCCTTTCTCAATTTTCAAAATTATCTCAGGAAAAGTCTCTTCCCCACCCCCAAAATAGCAAACTAAGCAGCTCTCTATGGGAAAACCCATTCTCATCATCTCAAAAGCAGAATATTAAAGAACAGAAGATGGAAGGCTCACCTGAGGGAGGTGGAGTACAGGGTCCTCATTCCATTCAAATAGATATCTCTAAACATTACCAAATTTCCTCGTTTCTAGGAGATAAATGATTACCCTAAACCTTTAGCCCCTGTGTTACCAAAGGGGAGAAGTTTATTGGCATAATGGTTTAATTTTAACTTTATTTTCATTGTCTCACTGACAAGTAGATTGAGCTCATTAAATCCTGCTCATGCTTCAAGCCCAGATGAGGCCACCGTCATCATCCCTGATCTTCCATTTGCAACTGATGCTTCTTCTTATAGGAGCCTGACAGCCCATGCTCCTTATTTAAGCACTAGTGCCTTATGAGGGTGGCTCAGGGTTATTATATTCTTCATGAGAAGGGGTATGTCTTGTCCCTTTTAAGTCCTCTCTGTCACCCTCCTGTTTAATACAACTGGGCTCTCCAGAGTAGAGACTTAATATATTTTGGTTAACTTTAATGATTTTTGTGGTTTTCTGATTATATCTATTTGCACAAAGCCAGTGAGTTTTCTGTGAAAATAGACACCATGTGATTCTTCTCCCTTTTTTTTAAATTTAATTTTTTAATTGAAGGAGAATTGCTTTACAGAATTTTGTGGTTTTCTGTCATGCATCAACAAGAATCTGCTCCATTTTGTAACAAAACATTTCATAAGACTCAGGCATACTGGTCTGTCTGCTCATCTCTGATTCTCTCTCTTTCTTTAAATTTATATTTGATTTACAATGCTATATTAGTTTCAAGTGTACAACATAGTAATTCAATATTTTATAGATTATACTCCATCAGTTCAGTTCAGTCGCTCAATAGTGTCCAACTGTCTGTGACCCCATGGACTGCAGCATGCCAGGCTTCCCTGTCCATCATCAACTCCCAGAGCTTACTCAGGCTCATGTCCATCAAGTCAATGATGCCATCTAACCATCTCATCCTCTGTTGTCCCCTTCTCCTCCTCCCTTCAATCTTTCCCAGCCTCAGGGTCTTTTCATGAGTCAGTTCTTTGCATCAGGTGGCCAAAGTATTGGAGTTTCAGCTTCAGCATCCGTCCTTCCAATGAATATTCAGGACTGATTTCCTTTAGGATGGACTGGTTGGATCTCTTTACAGTCTAAGGGACTCTCAAGAGTATTCTCCAACACCATAGTTCAAAAGCATCAATTCTTTGGCACTCAGTTTTCTTTACAGTCCGACTCTCACATCCATACATGACTACTGGAAACCATGTTTGACTAGACAGACCTTTGTTGGCAAAGTAATGTTTCTGCTTTTTAATAAACTGTCTAGGTTGGTCATAGCTTTTCTTCCAAGGAGCAAGCATCTTTTAATTTCATGGCTGCAGTCACCATCTGCAGTGATTTTGGAGCCCCCAAAAATAAAGTCTGAGACTGTTCCCATTACAGATGTAATTTGCTCAGATAAGGTCATACTGGAGTAGGATGAGCCCTTAATTCAATCTGACTGGTGTCCTTATTGGAAGACAGCCATGTGAAAACACAAAGATGAAGAGAATGCCATGTGATGGCAGAGGCAGAAGTTGAGGTTATGCAGCTACAGACCAAGGGATACCAGGGATTTCTGGCAACACCAGAAGCTGAGAGAAAGGCATGGAACCTTAGCAGAGCATGACTCTACGGAAACCTTGATTTCAGACCTCTAACCTCCAAAACTTTGAAATAGCACATCTCTATGTTGTAAGCCACTCCATTTGTGGTACTTTGTTATGTCAGCCACAGGAAACTAACACACCAAGCGAAAGCTGGCTTATTCACCTGTAGGATATGAGGAAGCAAGAAGGCTCTCAAATGGCTTCAAGATTCTTAGCATGTCATCTTATATCCCTACAGGAAGGAAGGTGAAATAAATCACAGTCAAGAACAGAATTTGTTCCAAAGAACGTTTCAATAAAAACAGTTTCTACAAGAAAAAAAAAAAAATGTAGGTTCTAGTATCTACTGTATTATATCATCCCTAAACATGACTGGAGAAAGTAGACTGGAGAAANAAGTAATGCTCAATATTCTCCAAGCCAGGCTTCAACAGTACATGAACCATGAACTTCCACATGTTCAAGCTGGATTTAGGAAAGGCAGAGGAACCTGAGATCAAATTGACAACATCTGTTGGATCATCAAAAAAGCAAGAGAGTCCCAGAAAAACATCTATTTCTGCTTTATTGACTATGCCAAAGCCTTTGACTGTGTGGAGCACAACAAACTGTGGGAAATTATACTCCATAGAAAGTTATATTCTCTCTTGAGTTCACCATCAACAAGACAGCACTTGGCAAAGCCATCACCAACCTCCGTACTGGCAAATCCAGTGGTCCCTTCTCAGGTCTTAACTGTCAATACTTGACAGCTTTCATCACTCACTCCTTGTTCCCCTTGATTGTCACATGCCATTTAAGTCTGGTTTTTCTCATGCCTTATACATTGTTCACTCTGAATCCTTTTTGTTGAATCACCATTTTTTTCCTTAACCTCTAATGTTGGTGCACCCAGAACTCTCTTCTTGAACTTCCTCTCTAACTGAACTTATTCCCAGTGATCCCATGCAGTCTCCTTTCTTTAATGCCCTTCCTCTGAGCTCCAAACTTTATTTGCTCAGCTGCCTTCACCTGTTGTGATTGGATTTCCACCAAGTGATGCAGAACCACAGCATCTCCTCTTTAATCCAGTGACCCACACACGTGCCCTCTCCCAGAAGGTGTGGATTTCAATCCTTGGTGCTCCCCTTTGACCCTACGAGTAGTAACTGCCCCTTATCTCTCCTTGTTGTTTTGTTGTTTAGTTGCTAAGTCATGTCCAACTCTTTTGCGACCCCTTGAACAGTAGCCCACCAGACTCCTCTGTCCATGGGATTTCCCAGGCAAGAATAGTGGAATGGGTTGGCATTTCCTTCTCAAGGGGATCTTTCCAACCCAGGAATCAAACCCATGTCTCCTGTATTAACAGGCAGATTCCTTACCACTGAGCCACCAGGGAAGCCTTATCTCTGCTAGTCCTCCACTATTTGGTTATTTTTACTTCCTATTAGCCAGTCCCTGAGTCCTTACTCCAGTTCCATGAATTCATTCTTTATACTAAAGTTTCCTTCTTCAAGTAACTGTGTGGTTTTTCACTCCTAATTAGATCTAGTGGTTCATTTCAGTTCAGTTCAATCGCTCAGTCGTGTCTGACTCTCTGAGATCCCATGAATCACAGCACACCAGGCCTCTCTGTCCATCACCAACTCCCAGAGTCTACTCAAAGTCATGCCTATCGAGTTGGTGATGCCATCCAGCCATCTCATCCTCTGTCACCCCCTTCTCCTCCTGCCCCCAATCCCTCCCAGCACCAGGGTCTTTTCCAATGAGTCAACTCTTCGCATGAGGTGGCCAAAGTACTGGAGTTTCAGCTTCAGCATCAGTCCTTCCAGTGAACACCCAGGACTGATCTCCTTTAGGATGGACTGATTGGATCTCCTTGCAGTCCAAGGGACTCTCAAGAGTCTTCTCCAATACCACAGTTCAAAAGCATCAATTTTTCGGCACTCAACTTTCTTCACAGTCCAACTCTCACATCCATACATGACCACTGGAAAAACCATAGCCTTGNGATAGTCAATAAAGCAGAAATAGATGTTTTCTGGAACTCTTTTGCTTTTTTGATGATCCAGCAGATATTGGCAATTTGATCTCAGGTTCCACTGCCTTTTCTAAAACCAGCTTGAACATCTGGAAGTTCTCAGTTCACGTATTACTGAAGCCTGGCTTGAAGAATTTTGAGCATTACTTTACTAGCGTGTGAGATGAGTGCAATGGTGTGGTAGTTTGAGCATTCTTTGGCATTGCCTTTCTTAGGGATTGGAATGAAAACTGACCTTTTCCAGTCCTATGGCCACTGCTTAGTTTTCCAAATTTGCTGGCATATTGAGTGCAGCACTTTCGCAGCATCATCTTTCAGGATTTGAAGTAGCTCAACTAGAATTCCATTACATCCACTAGCTTTGTTCATAGTGATGCTTTCTAAGGCCCACTTAACCATAGATTTATCTTTTTATATTAATATATTTACTGAATATTGAATTATTAGGATCATAGTATATCCTTGTGTGCTAATGATTAATGTTCTCCCAGAGTTGCTTTCTAATATTTATTAATAACATAGGAAATAGGTCACTCTGAACAATTTTGAGCATGTTGTTTTCATTGGTTTTATCATATTGTTATGTTTTTTACATATATAGAAATGAAATATATTTTGGGGTAATTTGAGTTTCAGTTTTCTCTCTACATTTCCCAGGATCTCCTTGCCTCTTTTTGGGAAAAAGAAATCTGCAGCTGCCATACACAAATGCACACACACACACATACATGGAAGGCACATGTGCTTAATTCAAGGAACAATTGATTTGCCTAAGTTTATTCTTAGCTATTATATTCTTAGCTATTTCTAATCACACATTAATTCTCTTAGAAAGCTTTAGACTTTTCTTCACAATATCACTGTGCACTTTTGTTGTTTGTCCCAAATCTCTGTAGCTTTTGATTGTGTAGATATATGGATTACATTGTTTTACTTTATAGCCTTATAGTTAAAAAAGGAGTTTTTTTTTTCACAGTAATACACAGTACAGTAATGTATCTGTTTTCATTTCTCTCTTTAGATGTTCCTCTAAACACAATGCAATAAATCAGCTTTTTGGAAAATTCCTGATGAATATTCCTAAATATGTCACAAAATGTCATCAATAATAATGATGGTGATACAAAGATTCTTTGTCATGGTCCTAACTCTCTGGGGAATAGTCCTGATATTTCACCATCAAACATAATATTGGGCTTTAGGTTGAGATATACTAGGCACATATGTTAGGAATCCTATTTGTCTTATTTTAGTAAGCACTTTTTAAATGTAAAATAAGTGTTAGTTATGCCTTTTTAGCAAATTTTGAATTTAAAATACTTTTCTGGGATGGGGGGTTTGTTGTTAGCTTTGTCAGGTAGGAGGAAATTCCCCCTACCCCTCTTGAGTTCTTTTGACTGGTCTAATGATTAAATTGACACAAGACATATTAACAGGAGAAAAAAAAAAAA